AGTTTTTTAAAGTTTTGTATAATCCTACTTATTTAAATCCATAGTACTACTTTACAATGTGAAAATCTTGAAGGCATTATGCTAACTAGCATCACAGAAGGCAGATATTATGCGATTCACTTAGACGTGGAACCTAGAGTAATCAAATCTAAAGAAAGACCAGAACAGCAGCGGCCAGGGACTGCGAGAGGAAGGGACATGAATACGGAAATGAATAAACAAGCAAAGAGTCTTTTTGCCCTGCAGTGTGCTACATTATGTGATTTCAATTATTATATTTGAACATATAAATTTTACCATAGTTTTCACTCAACACGAAGAATATATTCAAGAATACATGCAGGGCTGGAGAGGTAACTCGGCGGTCAAAGCGCCTGCCTGGCAAGCGCAAGGTCCCGAGTCCAGCCACCAATACTGCGTGTGCTGCAGGTCCCATGCTGCGTGTGGGCCACTGAAACTGGGTGTGGTGGTACATGCCTGTAATCCCAGTGCTGGGGAGGCTGAGACAGGAGGATCATTAGGAGTCTGAGGTGCGTAAAAAGACCCTTTATCAAAAACAAAGAATGAAACAGAAACAACAACAAAAAAGAATACATGCTCAGCACTGAACATGAAGGACCAGATAGGCAATGATTATTTCAGTAAAAGTCATCTGTTTTGTTTTATTATTAAAACAATAAATATTCCAGAAAGTCAAAAGAACAATTTTTTTCAGTATCTTTTCCAGTAAGCTCATGAGAATTTTCATAACAAAGTCAAATGATATTCTTGATGTATTTTCCAAAATCCTTCACTAAGAAATGTTATTGTTCTAGGAGGAATCGTTGATAAAGATCTTCGTCACTACCTCAACTTACGATTTCAGAAGGGGTCTGTGGACCACGAACTCCAGCAAATCATTCGAGACAACCTCTACCTCCGCACCGTGCCGTGTGAGTACGATGGGGGACAACATTTTCTCCCTGTGATAGTAGAGAAACACACAGCGTTGCAGCCATTGTTTAAAAGAAAGGTTAAATCCTGCTGATTGTTGTGGGGTGGACATTTGAAAAAGAAAGTGGATTTGAAGTAGAGAAATTTTAAATGCAAATGCTTTCCCCTGTGTTTATGTGGTTTGTGACAAAGTTGTGGACAGAAGAAACTGGTGCCTTTCAGGCTATAAAGCTCTAACTTAACACTTCTCAAGTTAGTATGAAGACGTAGAACTCCTAGTCTGGACTTTGGTGATTCAGAGTGAATCGATTGAGGTTGAACTCCACAACAGCTGGCAGGAGAAAGCAAGCTCAATTTCTTAGTTGAAGCAGCTGTTTCAGAAAGAGAACCTACACTGGAGACTCCTTTTTGCTCTGCAGCATAGGAGCTGTCCTCTCCCCAGTGCAGAGGACACGTCCGCGGGGGCGGGGGATGCTGCTGCAGGCTGGAGCACAGGTCTCACGCGCAGCCCACGGAAACCCGCGGGCCTCCCTTTCTGATTTTCCCTTAAGAGAGGAATTGGCAAAATGAAGAAAAAGCACAAATAAAATTCTTAGTGCCTATTTTTACCTGATTTGAGAGTCCTCTGTTAACTTTAGGACAAATGAAGGACTTTTCTCAAATTCAATTTTCTTTAAGGGAGAAGCCAGACACTTTCTACTCACTGAAAGGCTGGTCTGTGGGGATGGTCTGTGTTCCTTCTGCATTAGTTCCAAACTTTAATAAATTCAAAGCTATGGACTCTGGAGGCTTAATATTAAAGGAAAAAAACTTGGCTGGGGAAAATGAAACAAGCAAAACAAACAACCAACAAAGATTTTTGATATCTAGAGTTGAATCACCAGTACTACGTAAATAAAATATATGGGTGAATGTACTGAAGTAGTGAAAACACCCACAGAGGCGTGATGGATGGGTAAACACCCAACCTTTCAACCAGCACACATTGTAGAAAGAATGATTAGGGGTCCAGGGAGATGACTCAGTAGAATAAATGCTTGCCTGGCAAATGCAGGGTCCTGAGTTCAATCCCTGGTACCGCAAAAAAAAAAAAAAAAAAAAAAAAAAAAAAAAAGAAGAAGAAGAAGAAGAAAAGGGATGGATTATCAGCCATATTGTTACTAAATGTTCATCAAAATGAAAATGTCACAGCACCACTACTAGGTATTCCAAAATGAGAAAGCTTGCCAGTTGCCAACTTGTTGGTCAAAATGATAGCTCTTGCTGTGTGTGCTCAGAAAAGGAATAGACTTTTGGACTCTTGCTGAAGAGTTGAGAAACGTGCACTCTTAAACTTATGAGCTTGCAATCCCAGTGATGGGCATGGGAAGATGAATGAAAAGGAAAGGACTGAACTATTTATAAGGTAACGCGTGGACACATTTTCAAAGCTGTGATGTTGTCAGTGAGGCTGTGTGAATTTATCTTTTGTGACATGAAAGAAAGGAGATCTGAAATACTAAATAAAGAATCCAGGCACTTTATTATGTTTTAAAGCTGAGGGAAATTGATAAGAGGCTGACACTAAAGAATACTTGTAGTCCTTGCTAAGGAAAACGACATAAATAAGAAAATCGCAATTAAATATGTAGATAATAGGAGCAAATTTTGCATTAATTAATTACCTTTTTAAACAAAGCATTTCTTTTGAGTACCAAAGAAGGACTGTGAAGGGAAAATAAATAAGAAGGTAAAATATCTAGAAATAGGAGCAAACATAGAGTTTTAAGATGTGATTTTGGAAGAAGGACATAAATTCAATTATAAGTCCTTGAATAGCTCCTGTACAGAAGATAATTAGAAACTCAATGAATCTGAATATTATGATGAAACAATTATTCTTTGGGTTATTTTTTCAGCCAGCACTCCTAATAGCCAGTTTCAATGGCACCATTCTCTAACAGTGCTTTATCAGTGAGTAACTGTGAGAAAATTTTGAAGTAGAGATGGTTCTGATTTATACTCTTAAAACCCAGTCTTATACTAATGAGTTAGAACGGGCCAATCTACGATCTTCACTCAGCGTATCTTTTAATGAAGTGTTCAGATGTTTTCAGAGTATGCCATAGAAACGTGTGTATAGTATGAAACGTCCTACCATCATGGCTTAGAAACTTAAATTAGATCCAGCGTGATCTCTTGGTACTGAGTGTGGAATCATACCTTTTACACATTCTCCTAGGTGAAAATACTCTTTTTGATTCTCATGAAATCAGCACGATAAAAGGAAAATGTGTTCTGGAGGAGCGGACCGTGTCCCCATGCAAGCATGCATTAATGTGTACTGTTCCCTCCCACAATGGCTCTGGTGCCGGGAACGAGTCTTTCTTAACTTCATAGAAGCGAAACTGTAGTTCATTTAAAATTATGTGATGGGCCGGCCAGATAGCTTAGCGGACTAAAGCGCCTGCTTCAGGGGAGCACAGCTGCCGGGCGGGGTTGGATCCCCGGTGTGCTGTGCCTGCCCCGCCCCGCCCCAGGGGCGCACTGAGATAGCGATTGAGTCTGGGCGTGGTGTCATGCGCCTGTAATCCCAGCACTTGGGAGGCTGAAAAGAAGAGGATCACTCCAAGTCCAATCTACATAGTAGGACCCTGTAGACCCTGTACGCTGTGTCCTAAATACATTTTTTTAAAAATATATGTGAAAAAGGACTAATCTTTTCCACAAAAAAGAAAAAGCAGTTCTGCCAGCTATTTGATATTACTTCTCTGCCACTGACTACAACTAGAAGCAAGGAGTCAAGTCTGGGCGCCGGGCTGGTGAGGGCCAGAGAAAGTTGGTGCGGTCAGCGGCGCTTAGAGCAGCGTGAGTCCCGGATGCACACTGCAGGACGTGTCTGGCTCCGTTCTAAGCTCCTCAGGTGAGAGAGGTCCTTAGCCTAGGTCTCCTGTGGGCTTTCCCGGCACATGATACAGCCTCTGCGGGCATTCATTTACAGTCAGCAAGGTGCAGCCGCATTTGGCTTCGCTGCTTCCCCAAAGAGGAGCTCAGCACCTATTTCTTTAAAAAAAAAAAAAATTCTTTTAAAAAACATATATCTAGATAAGGAATGAACTCTCAGTCATAGAGATGGAATTATTGTGCATTGAATGAGTGACATGTGATGCACAGGCAAACACAGACAGACAGACAGACAGACACACACACACACACACACACACACACACACACGGCGTTTGCTGAAATCACTTCATCATGCCTTAAAGCAGATCACAAAGAAAAGACCCTTGAGAAGTGGCTCTTGATATGTTCTGTAGACCACAACAGGCCAACCCCATGATGAGTCACTGAAGATCTGAATTTGCGCTGGAGCGTGTGGCTTTCTCTTGCTAATTGTGTAACTAGTACTGGGCAAACAAAGATTTCCAGAAGGCATATACTAAGAAGGGAAAGCGACTGCTGTGAAATGGACACTGTGAACCTATTTCCTACTGTTAAGATTTCGTACTATTTAAGATTTTTTATGCAATTGAACCTCAGATAAAAATGAAGAAATGACTAGGAGGCAGTACTGTTGGGTCCTAGAATGTGATACAGAATAATGGGGGAAAGGGCGACTCTAGTACTCCACAGAGGGCTACACTCATAGTATAGTACAGCGATGAGGACGCTCCCCACGGTACACGGAGCACAAGGCTCGCAGCATGCAGAGGGCAGCTGCGGAAGCTCTGGTAGCAGCTTTTGCTCAGAGACTACCCAGGGCAGTCTCGTCACCACATGCTAGGTGCATGAAGCTAAGGCAGCATTCATTACCCCTGGAGTAGGTCGGGGAAAATTCCTAGAAACAATACTGACAAATATTGGATTACTGTGTAAGGTTTTCAAGAGTAAGAATAAAGTTTATTTTGGTTTTAATATTCTACTTAGTGTAATGATTACATATATTTAATTTGAGTCCAATCAACTGTAATTAGCCTGGCTATGCTCTTAAAAACGAAGAAAGTAATCACTCCAATCAGTGGATGAAGTTCTTGTTCTTTCTTCTTTTTTAAAAAACAAATCTTTTATTTGTTTATTTGGTCCAGGGTCTCACTATGCACCTTGGACTCATAGCGATCCTCCTGTCTCAGCCTCCCCAGTGCTGGGATTCCAGGTGTGCGCCACCATGCCTGGTTTCAGCGGCTAGCATGGCAGCCTGGCATGTGGTACCTGGGATTGAACCCAGTCCTTGTGCTTGCCAGGCAGGTGCATAGACCACTGAGTCATCTCCCCAGCCTTCTTGTCCTTTCTCTTTGACATTATATATTAGAGACAGTGATTAATCTTTGCAGAAGGTATGAGCACAGATAGAAATCTTAGATGCTTTTCCCTGTAGTGCCACATGACATGGTAAAGGACTTTGGGGCCAGTTTTGAAATTTTCAAAATGACATGGGAGATGGTTAAAATGAAACTTGCTCCCAAGCACTATACGTATCATTTAGTGAGATGGTTTTATTAAGAAATATCTTAAATTGATTTGAACTCAGCAGAAATGCCAGTGTACACCAAGTGAAAGAGAAGATCAATGAAGCTGAAGTCTAGAACTGTTCTATGCAAAGTGAATAAAGTGAAAATCAGAGACAAGATATAAGAGTAATTACTTAATGGAAGATGCGTTTCAGGGCTACCTCCCAGTGCTGCCTTCCCATATTTAAGTGACCTCAGTTAGCAGCACTTCATAAGAAGCCTTCATAAGAAGAGTTGCCAAAGACAAAACTGCAAGGCTTCACAAATTTTCTGATATTTAGGCCAAATGATCTTTCACAGAAAATGAGACAGAGATAGGATCTTCACAAGTTCAGAGGAAGTTATGAGAAGGTCTTCCGTTAAGAGCAGGTACAACACAGCGAGAGTGGTGCCCATGCAAGAAATCAACGTTTTGGGGGCTGGGGAGATGGCTCAGTGGAATAAGCACTTGCCTGGCAAGCGCAAGGGCCTGAGTTCAATCCCTGGTTCAAAAAAAAAAAAAAAAAAAA